CTAGTTTTAAAAATCATCTAAATAATTGTTCCGCGTAACGCGTGGATTTTCACTAGTAAATGCTATATAATAAATAAAGTTACATGCATAGAGATAAAAAAAAGTTTAACTACTCACCGAGTGAGCCCTTGATAAAATCTCTCAGGCACGAAGCCCTAGACGGTCGTCAATGACTTTCCGAGCACCATAAACCTCCACCGTTTTTGCCAGAAACTCTGAGCCAGGATGTCGACGAGCAATGCGTTTGGGTTCTTTCCACCATCGATCTAAAAATCCGCTTGCTCCTCTCGCCGGTATGCTTCTTTGCCGGTCAGTCCAAAGCCCCTCGCCTCTCTCAGCGTGGTCGAAGTCTGTCTCTCGCTTCCCTCGGTGAGTCTCTTGGGCGTACTCCGGTATGCTGCTTGCTCCATCGCTACTCCTCGAATCTTCGGGACGAGAGTGATGGCTATGGCTAGACCTTCTCCTCCACCAGAACCACCGGACCCGCCTGACCCTCTATCGGTACCGTCGAGCTCGGCCAACTAGGTTAAGTTCCACCGGCCCGGCTTGCAATTCTCGGGGCTAGATCCGAGATCCTCCCTATTGTTATTACCGACAGACCTTCTCGCAACGACCATGCCTTTCTCCGCGGTTCAGCCTCATCACTACCGTCGTCTCCCACCAGAGCCTTCCCTAGATTTGAACAGTACCAGATCGGGAAGAGTTCTGGCTTGGGTTCAACGGTTTACCTCCCCACGTATCAGACTTCTCCCCATTCATTCCATCCCCTGACCAGCTGGCCAAAATCAGCCTTCTTTGGTTGCCGCTTGAACAGTACCCGCCGGAAAAGATCCACCTCTGAAAATCGTGGCCGACATTGTCTCTCCCTTCTGGATCAGGTTTTGTTTGGGCTTGTGGTACTTGATGGGCCTGATCTAAACTCACTTAACCATCCTTTGTGATGGGCTGAGATTGATTTTGGACATTTGTGATATTTTAAAGGCTTTTTCAAAGCCCAGTTTGGTGTGGCCCAATTGGGAGATGGCTCTCTAGTATATATGTCAAATCCTGCAATCTACTCCCAGTGGAATAATTCATTTCCACCGTATACCATATCTTTGAGATTGGTTGTATCTTCCCTCTCTTAGAGAGTGGTCGATCTCCCGAGCTTTTTGTTGGGATCTTCAAAGTCACATTCAAAATTGACTAACATGAGACTCTCCGGTTTTGCCGCGATGACCCTCTTGACGCATCCGAGGACTTTTTTGGATTCGTTGTCCATCTCTTGCGATGACGATCTATCTACCCTATGCTTTATTGTGTTTAAATTATGTTGTAATAATTTAGGAGGATATTTAATTCCCTCCGTTTGTACTTTGCTCGGTTAAAGGAACGAAGTAAGTTTGTTGACAAAAAAAAAAGAACAGTTACATGCCATGACTCGAAGTGATGCAGTGTCTAAGATAGCGTTACATAGTGTGATAAAGCGTTGAATAATCTTCAGTTTTGATTGACTAGCCGCATCACCTCAGTTTTCACATCCACGATTACCTCGCCCACGATTTGCCCTTTTCCAAGACATCTCCTTGGCCTTTGCCGATGGTTTTACCGGTCTTTTGCGCAAAATTATTTTACTTGAAGGTTTCACAAGATCCATCAAGTCGTTCTCTTTGTCTATATATGGTACTATATATATACACTAGAATTTGACTAATATCAAGCGTGTGATTAAATACTTAAATATGTTTTCTAATCGATTTTAATATTTAGACGTGTATTRTAATGATATATATTTTGATGTCATAAACATAGATCAAAATATATTTATTAAATATAAACGTACAAAATHATWTATATTGTGCATAAATGTCATAAAATTCAATTTTGATCAAACATATTTTGATGTCATATGCTTTGATCAACTTTGCATAAAKATATTAGAATTAWTMCAAATGTTATTTATTTCAATTTATTTGAAGTGTAAAATTGATTTTTATTATTTGTGTAAATTATACAGCATGCAATAAATCAAATATAMTTTTTAGGTTTATATGAATTTGTCGGACATAACAAACGAAAAATATATTCAATAATAAAATGTAAAAATAGATGTAAGTGTAGAAATAAAATAATAAATAATATTGTTACAAATAAAATAATGAAAAMTTTTACTATTATATCATTTAAAAAAATAGAGGATATGGTAAGTGTAAATATTACATTTAGTTAAACTTAAATCTGTAAAATATGTATTAATGGATTTATGTTATAAAATTAATAAAAACATGTAGAGATTTCAACCATGYCATATAGTTTTAATAGAAATATTTTCATTGGTTAATTAAAATGACATATTCCTTAAAAATCTTATTGAATAACACATTTTTCACTAAATTCTACTCAATTAATATATAGAGGATTAGTGGCACTTTTGATAAAATTTAAGAATGATTGAATTTTTTGAAAAGTGATATTTCTCAAAACAATAGAAAGATATACACCATTTGATATTTTTTGTTTTCTTCCGTGTGATAAAAAAAATCATGATTTTTTGTTTTTGAATATTCTAATCCCACATTTGATGCGGGTCAAAAAATCTAATATTAGTAAAAGAAAATAAGATATTCTCACATATACTTTATGTTTTTAAATAAAATATTTCATATTAACTACCACCTACTCATTATTTCCATATTCGTTTGATGATTATATATTGTATATATGATATAAATTTGGTGAGTAATTGGATTAAAATATAGTCACTTAAAAAGACCTCATTAAATAACACATTTTTCACTAAATATCTACTCAATAAATATATAGAAGATTAGTGTCATTTTAAAAAAAAAAAATCAAAATGATGACATTCTTGAAAAGTAGCATCTCAAAAGTGACATTTCTCAAAAAAATTATACATTTAATCTAAATTTCATGCACATAAGTTTTTCAAGATAAGATATGGGAGATKTATACC